GGGGGGGGGCTTTACATGCTGCAGTCTCAAGAAATTGTCAGAAATTATATGTAATAAAATTATTTACATGGTTTATGTAAAGCAGAGTGGTAAGTATTTTCTCTATAATTGCTAACATCATATTGACCCTTTTTTGCTAAGTAGATATAAAATGTTTGATGAGGAATCAAGTTCCTTGACATTATTCATTCATTTATTCATCAGAAGGACTAACAATAAGTATAAAATGTAGAAAAATATCCCAAACCCTGAGCTGTGTGTTGCACCTGTTGTTCTGTATATCCATCTGAATGATACCAACATTAAGAGAGTGATTGAAGTTGCTTGATCACATCTAACCTTAAGCATGTGTTTTTTTTATTATTATTTATTTATTTTAATTTTTGCAAAGAGGTTGTTCGTTAAAGACGGGGCAAAAAAGCAGTTTTGAACCCAACAGCAAACTCCCTGATCGTGTCTGAACATAATTAATCTTCTTTCTGCTCATTTAGTGAAAAATTAAAAAAGTTAAGAGTTATTTAGAATGCAAAAAAGACTCTGGGATCTAATTGAGCATTTTTAGTGATGCCATAAATGAATGACTGAATTTGTGTGTGTTTTGTTTTTTGAAATTGGCAGTTGGTTCACATAGTTAGAACTGCCCAGCTCTATCTTCAGGGGTTAAACACTGAAATGGAAAAATCGGAGATGGTGTAAAAATATCTTTGCCTTGGTACTGTCATACTCATGAGTCATGACACAAGAAGCAGGCACAGAACTGCCTACCATCACAGCCTTAAGAAATTGAATGGCCTAATAAAAGGCACATAAAATCACCTCTATATTCAGTGTTTAATTTTATGAATAAAATATTTATATATAAATATTCACTACCCTGCCATTCTTTAACACATCCCATGATGCTCATAAATCCAGCTTGCAACATTTCTCATTCTCCCTATCATTTTCTATCCTCACTCTACTTCAATATTGTCATACTTCAATATAATAGTTTAAAATAATAAAAGTCGCACAGAGGCCAACCTTATTTCTGTCTATTGAGAAAGCGAGCGTCCTTCTAACCATCAGGTCCTAAAGGTCGGCATCATGCTGTTATCACTAATTAGCCAATCGAAATATCCCTACATAAGAGAACCTCTCATCTTATCGCCAAAAATAGTCCGTCTGGAACATACTAAACTGACAAAATGTCTCCAAAATCCTCCGTTTCTCTGAGATGCGTGCTTCACGGATGATTCTCGTCCTGAAAAGATGGATTAGGAATGATATGTTCCTCAGATCTCCTTTTTTAGTAATGCTATCACCCTACTTGCGTACATGCGAGTGTGTGTGAGAAGAGAGATGTATCCGTATGTATGCATGTATATGCTCTTTGAGAACCAGGAGGCCTGTTTTGTGTAACACAGAACAGCCAAATCAATTAAAGTTTGGTTTTAATTTGTGTGTGATGTTTCTCCTTGGTTTGGTTGAGTGTGTGTGTGTGTGTGTTTGTCAGCATGCTGAAGCGTGGTCTTTTGTGCAGAGACATGTTTACATTCCTCAAGCTGTGAAAGACTGGTGGCGTTGCTCTCTCTCTTTTTCTCCTTTTATATTCCTCTTTTTTTTTTTTTTTTTTTTTTTTCTACCAAATCTGGATTACTAGTGCTCTACAGAGCCCCTAAAGGGACATGATGGGAAAAAAAATATGGAAAAAATATAGTCCTTTTTTATTTCTCTTTTTTTTTTTTTTTTTTTTTTTTCTCACTTTTTGTGCTTGTGCTGATGGGCCGCACTGAGTAACATTCACAGACTGCCCACTCCAGCTGTCATGATGGTAACTGACAGGGAGTTCACAGCGAGAAAAGGAGAGAAAGACGGATAGAGGCGAAGATAAACAGAAATTGAGTGGGCTGTGATTGCTTCACGCTGATTTGTAGACAGAGTAAAAGACGGATTTATGTATATGTGTGGGTGTGTGTATGTGTTATGAGGAAGTGAATGCATGGACATGCAAGTACGTACATGGCCGCTGGTAATTACCGATGATGGGAAAGGGCAAAATTCAAAACGTTCATCTGTTAGAGCTGTTGTTTCAAATGTGAATTCTCTCACTCAAATTGTTCCAAACCAAAAAAAGGTGTTGAAGAATATGACCTCTCTTTTCAGTATAATGAGAGTGAAGGTGGAATAAAGCTGTCAAGCTCCAAAATTACAAAAAGCACCATAAATGCATGTAAAAGTGGTCCTAAAACTGAAGACCGAATATATATGTTGTATACCGTATACATATACAATGTAAACACATACAGTGGCTGTTTGGGCAAGTTCATGAGAGAAGTGTCGATGCCTGATTCATGAATGATTCATTCTTTTGAATCAGATATTTTCAATGAATCTGATGTTCATGAATCAGACTGATTTGATTCTCAAGTTCAACTCACTGACTCAGTACAACAGTTAGTTGAAGGGCAAGCTTATCAGACATTAATTACCTTTCTTTTCACACAAATCTATCATCTATATAAGACTTTCAATATACCACAAGTCATATGGGCTATTTTATGAAACTTTTATGGTGATTTTGTGTCTTTTACACAAAGTCCCCATTCATTGTAACTGAATGGAAAAAATACCAGTACATTCTTTGAAATGTTGTCTTTTGAGTTCCACTTAAGAAAGAAAATCATATAGGTTTGGAATGACATTATGATAGAAGTTTCATTTCTCTGTGAATCTTTTCTTTAACAGTACAAGAGTGAACCTCTTATTTGTGTTTCTCTTGCTATCATTGTAGATGAATATAAGATGAAGGGAGTGGAGGAGGTGAAGTACATGCGTGGAGAAGAAGACCGAGTAAACGCACGCAACCAGGAGAACCTGGTGAGATACAAAACATGCCTGCGCAGTTGCGCACACACCTGGGAAATTCTTCCTGTGCAGTGGTGTCCATCATATTTTTGCTTAGTATTCACACACACACACCGCTTGAGGCTCATATGCCTGTTGTTGGCTTATACATTGAGAGGTAAAACTAAGCGTATGCATATGCAGTGCACACGTGTGCCGACATGTTTGGAATGTGGGAGAGGGAAATTCTAAAAAAAAATTCCTCTTTTGTCACAGACTCTCTCTCTCATGCTTTGACACTCACATTACCAGACAACATGTAATATTCTGGAGTTTCTAAATGCATCTTTTCTTACAAAATTTTAAAAATTTGAGAAAAAATTCTCAGATGTCTGGACTTATCTGGACTGATTCTTTCTCTAATGAGGAAGCTATGTATTCTTTTTCTTAATAATACTAATGATTTTAGAGATTTTGTTGTTTTTGAACCATAAAACAATACACTCTTACACATGCATATTGTTTTTTTTTTTCTTTTTCGCTTAACTAATAATGTTAAGGTTTCTTGCATAATGACCTAAGCTGTCTGTTTAGCTACTTTACTTTTAACACTATGTAAATTACCGTTATGATTGGCTAACCTTTTCACCTGTTAAAAGAGTAATAATGTCACTGCCAAGTTATTAAATATTGGCATTGACATGAAAATGTTGGTCATCATATGTTAATGTGCTCAGTGGGGGTGTAAAATGCTTCATTACTTTTTTTATTTCTTATCCAAAATACAGTTTTCAACATATTTCAAATGTAATAATCCACAATTTCAGATTCCCAATGTATTTTTTGCATGGAAAACCTTGAAAAGAATTATATTACATAATGAACCAAATTTCACATGCATCATATAATTTAGTGATCATCATAAAACTATTGTCCTGTTTCTACCCCTTTTTGCATCTTAGTTGCCATAAATTATCTGCTTGCATTGTGAACGAGTATGTCCACGTAGTGCATTTAAAATAGAGCAGGAAAAATCCTTTTTCCATGATAATTCCCCCTTTAAACTGCCCAGCTTAATGAAGTTGTACAGGCAGAGCAGGTGTTCAGATGCCCATGTTCCGATAAGGGGGGTGAGAGGAGAATAGAGACGCAGTGAAAGCGAGGGCAGCCCTCTCTCTCGCTGTCTCTCAGCAGGGCAGCATTCTCATTAGTAGTGGCCAGAGGAAGGTCACTCCCAGGGCCTCTGTATCACGCTGTGTTCCAGGCGGAGAAGCTGGTTCTGGCCCACGTCCAGAAACTGACAGGGCCTCTGCACCAGAGGGCCACCAGGGACTGAATTTGGCTTTGTTTTGAACAGTAGTAAGTGAAAACGTGTTCATTCCGGGTGTGTTTGCAGGAGAAGAGCTTGACGCAGCACAGGACCAAACAGCACAAAGAGGTGCCTGGGCCCAGCGCCAACAAGACGAAGTGAGTGGGTTTATACATGTGTCTTTCTGTTTACGGAGTGCGTGTGTTTCTGTTTGTTTTGTGTGTGCGGGTGAGGGCATTAAAGTTCTTGCTCTGTCGAAAACGTGCCAGAAGTCTGTAAATTGTGTGTGGTTTGTTTTGCTTTGTGGCCTGTCTTATCCCCTCTGGATCTCATTTGCATGTTCTGTTCGAGCGTGATGTGCCATGTTTCGTAACTTATTGTATGTAAACATAATGTGTTTCTTGCCTTCGGATGTAACCGTCAGTTTCAAAGTGTTTTATTGCCATAATTATTTCTAGTGAAATTGCATTTCTAACGCATCAATAACACAATTGTGATGTAAATAAAGAATAAATAAAAAGGCTAACACTTTATAATTATTTTTTGTTAAAAGTCATTTAAAGGAATAGTTCCACCATAGATGAACATGTCATTTATTCACCCTCATGTAGTTTTAAACTATTGATGACAACTGAACTGGAAAAAAAAAACTGTGATAATATCTGCGATAATATCATTTTCGTTGAATTTATTTGACCACTATAATTATGTAGTGAAAATCGTGACAGCCCTATTTGAAACCCATATTTTCTTTATTTCCATGAAAATGCAAATGGAGAGTGGAGCTATTGAGCTCCAATAGTTAACAAATAAGATTTTCAGCAAATAATGACTCAAATTTTTGTTTATTCCTTAAACAGAGGTGTCGTAAAACTACAAACATATTTATTATTGGTACTATATATATATATATATTTATTTATTTTATTTGGGGGGGGGGTTGGAGCTAAACTGCCTCAGTCCCCATTCTGATTTGTGTTTATATGGAAAAGAGCAGCATGAACTTTCTGCAAAATATTGTAGTGCTCAATTGAAGAAGAGAAGATACAGGTCTTATTAGAAAATCTAGGTAAATGAAGTAAGAACTAAATAATTTTTGGGTGATACGTTTAGCTATTTATTAAACATTTAGCATGAGATGAAAACATGTTTCAAAACATCTACAACTATTTACGTGTAAACTAATTTATGATCTGTTAACCATTAATATTTTATTTGTTTATGACTTAATGGACTTTAATTTTCACTGAGCTCTGAATGCTACGAACACATTAAACAGAAAGCTAATACATATGGTGTTCAAAATGTCTGGAGGTAAAGAAATTGTGTTTGAGGGAATGTTCATTAAGAATGTACAGTTCATTATTGTTTTGTGTGTATCGATGGAGTAATGCTCAGTTAATGTGCTTTGTGTGTGTGTGTGTGGAGGCAAGGGTTTATAGTCCCTGCTGTAATGTGTCTATAAAAATTATTCCTGCCCAGCCACTCTGGATCCTACAGGAGCTGGTAGCTTTGTGTGTGTGAGAGAGTGTGTATTTGTGTTCTTTATGCTTGTTGTAATGGAAAATTCTAGTGTATTTGTTGCTTCCCTTCTCCTACCCCCACTAACTTCCTCTCTTTCTCTCTCTCCATCTCTTTCTCTCTCTCTCTCTCTCAGCATACATACGTCAGAGAGTCAGCAGGAGTTCTTCAGAATGCTGGATGAGAAGATTGAGAAGGTAAGGGAGGGAGGAAAAGAATGAGGCACAGAAGTAAAGCAGGCAGCAGATGGGATAGAGATTTTAAAGGGCCAGTGTACATTAAACCACCCTTCAGAGGACTGTTCATTTATCTAGATTGTGACATTTAAAAGATTGTTTTGTCCTTCAGACTGTCTGGTACTTCCTGTAGACCTCTGGAGATAAAATGTTATATTTATGGCTCTGCTTTTTTCCCAGTACTTCCTTCTTTCCCTCTCTTATCTGTCTTTGTCTCTCTCTTAAGGTCTGAGATCAATTGGAATAAAATTTATTAAAGGGGTCATATGATGCGATTTCAATTTTTCCTTTCTCTTTGGAGTGTTACGAGCTCTTGGTGCATAAAGAAGATCTGTAAAGTTGCAAAGACTAAAGTCTCAAATCCAAAGAGATATTCTTTATAAAAGTTAAGAGTCAACCACGCCTACCTAAAACGGCTCGTTCTAACACGCCCCCACATACCTATGTCACTATCTGGGAAGATTTGCATAACACCGCCCAAATGTTCACGCAAAGAAAGAAGGCGTAACTTTTATTCTCGCTGTAGTATTGTTGTTGCCACCGCCTCCATGTCGTGAAGGCGCTGTGTTCTGTTGTGAAAGCGAAACTACTTTGGTTGGCCTTCCAAAAGAGGATGATTTCCACTTCGTCATGCCTGGAGCTGATCCGTGCTGGTCGCTGAGGAAATACAACAACTTTGCGCTGT